AATACTATAAACAATGTCTGTGTTACTAATGAATAAAAGAGGGCCTTGTTCCTAATGAAGAGGATAGACTATCAGAGAAAAATTCACTTCCCAGCTTTATAGGACTCGGTGCATAAACCTAGGGTATTCATTGAGCTTTGCTCCCTCCCAGCCCTACCAAGAGGACAAGCTGATGCTACTGCTGTTACACAAGGGATCTCAGGACTAACACACAACTGAGAATTAAGGCATTAGTATTTGGAAAAGTTCATTATAATCTTCTGTGGAAAGGCACTGTGGAAACATAAAGTATTATTAGAAGTGTGCCCTAAATAGCCTGCCAAGACAAATCCAAGTATTATTTCCACTGAGAGGGACAAAAACAAAACTATTTTCTCCTTTTACTTCTTCTTGGAAATTTTCCTGTACCTAAGACATTTCATGTCTGCTCTCTTCCCCAGTGCAACAGTTTGATCCATTTCTGGTGCTCCAGTAGTGACTTCCTCTCTGGGGTTTCCTCCTCGCATTGTGACCCAAAATAAACAGCAAGGTCTGCCCCACTCTTCCCATGTTAACACAGTCTCATGCATTATTCTACAAGATCCAGAAGTGCAAAAGACTTAACTAAACAACTGATGCAGAGAAGAAGAGACAGAGCTTACAGCATCATGTTCTTCAACCTGTTCAGAAGGTCATGACCTATTTAGCATGAAAGGGAAACAAGGATATCACAAGGTGTTAGAAAAAAAATGGATTTGGAAATTACAACTTAGTTCCTCCAGATCTCTGCTAGTTTATCCTTTCTATCCCCTTGTCCGATTCTGCCCAAATCCCTTATGAACGTAGCCATTTGTTTCCAAATATATTTCTGAAATTAGAAACATATTTACACTTTTAAAAAAGAACAATGTCATACAACGACTGTCCTCCCCATTCTTCTATCTCAAATCTGTCACTGTTATTTCTCTTGCAGGCCATTTTGGGAACATATAAATACATAGGAAAATGAAATTTGTAAGACATCAGCATACTTTGTTTTCAAAACAACTAAGGAAATGCTGCAATTCTTAAGTATGATGATATTCTAACTGAAAAAGCAACATACTGTCAACCTGGAGAAGCACTGATGGCAAAAAGCTGTTTCCCACATTTTGAAAGTGTCACTTTTCTTTTTCAATCTTTTGTCAATATGATTTAGTCAAACAGATGCCCCTCTGAAAACCACATCTTCTCAGCACCATCCATTTGATTTATGCAGAAGAAATTTGATTCTGAAGAGTGTCATGAATAAAAACAGATAGTAAGAATAACAACAAATATCTTTGCTACATGAGTGATGCCCGTGTAATGCCAATGGAAGCAGGAATAAAAAAAGAAGGGAGATGAAAATCCACTTCTAGGTTTTCTATACTTCCAGTGCTGTGTGTGAGTGATCTTTATGACAGAACACAAATCTACACCACACATCTTTGTTCTTATACACTGCTATTATCCTGGAAATTCAGGAACTTTCAAATATGAACCAAATAGACTTCACATGAGAGGAAGTCATTCCAGAAAGAGGACTAAAACTAGGATTCCTCTCCCACAGGCATCTTTAGGATTTTATTTTGCCCCACTTCAGGCCAAAATATTTTTTTTGGTGGGGGGTAGGGAGGTGGGCAGTGTTGCAAAAGATGACATATTCTTAAGCAATTCACTTGGACAAAATTACAAGATAACATTTCAATCATTTCGCACTAAAAATGTCAACAAAAGGGATATTCCAGTAAGACGTATTTATTTAATCAAATCAGTATTTTCCAGTATCATAAATTTTTTTACCAGCTCCTATCATTACGAAAGCCAAAAATTAGCAGTTCAGGGATCACACACTTTCCTGTCACTCATTACCATGGTAAATCAGTGCCTCATTTAGCTTATTAAAGACCATCTCAACAAAAAAAGCACAGTATGTTTATCATTTTATAATGTACCTGAGCTGTCAAGCAAAAACAGTATCAGGAAAGGAACATTGCTAATATTCCTGTTCCCCATATTTGAAGGCTAAGATATTGGTTCTTACCAGCTCTTGGGTTATGAGGCTTGAGCACATCAGCACTCTGCCAGCTTGCAGTGGTGGGCTGAGGAGCTAAGTTTTATTGGGATCCATTTGCCGAAGTATACACTCAGAGTGCCGGCCTGACCCAGCCTGTCACAGGTGAGGACTCACGCAGCAGCCACTGCTGCCAAAGCATATTCTAGGAATATGTTTTGTTACCTTCCTCGTCTTCCCATCTCAGCCCCAAGGATCTTTATTAACTCACCCTGTCCTCACCCACCATATAACTTTTTATCAAGTAGTTTAGAATTAATCTCCTACAGTAAACAAGCTTACAATTTCTCCTCGTGGGATAGGTTTTTAGTACCTCAAATAATTTGCTCTACTTCCATGGTGTTTACCTATTCTCAGTTCTCCTTCCCTCCCTTATAAGAATAAACAGAAAAATTGTTTTCAGTGGAGAAATACAACACATCCCAGGAAGAAAGAAAAAAAAAAAAAAAGAAAAAAGCAGAAATAGAGAAATAGACATGGTGCTGAAGAGCAAAAAATTGGGGATCTCCAGGATGGAAATAAGTTACCATTAGCTCAGGAAGCAGCAGACCACCACAGTTTCAGAAGTGTCAGGTTTTTATCCTGAAAACCAGATTGCATTTCTCAATGCTGGCAAAACTATTCATCAATAAATGTTTTCATATGACACTGGATTTTTTTTAAAGCTTTCAGGGGAAAGGCAAGCTAAACCACCTTTCCCCAGCTTGTGGCATTTAGACGAATTAAGAGATTCAGATCCAGCTCTTACTGCAACCTCTTCAGAGCATTGACTTCTGGACTTCAAAAATCATCACATCAAAACCATCATGTTTTTCCCTGGAGGTCGCTTTCAACCTGAATTAATTTATGATTCTATATTTTCAACATTTCAGTTTGGGGTAGAGGGGGAAACCAAACCACAACAATATTTTTCTGATACAACTGTTTTGTCAAAAAGAAAAAATCCTCAAGCCTGTATTCTAGCAAACATTGTTTCACAAACCTCCAAATCAAAGTAAACCTCAAAAAGTTTGTAACCCAAATAAAAGGATCACTTTGAAGGATATTACCAAGCTGAATTTAAAATGTAATTTGAGTATTTTTTTTTTAAATCCTTGTTGCGGACTAAATACTTCAGAAGGCATAATGAAGACCTAGCACCTCGTTTTCAAGTTCTCATCCTAATGAAAACTAACAAAAACATTCTGGTAAAGCACAAGACAACCAACCAAAGGAACAACTTGTATCATCATATCTCCTTTTCCTTACTGACCCTGTATGACCATAATATGTTTCAGGGAAGTTTTGATAAGTTGGTCCCCACTGGAAGAATTACTTAGAAAATCCCTGATCTTCATGCCTGTGGGACTGAAGCTTCTGACCTCAAGCAATGGTCTGTTTCTCTAGGCAACATGCCAAAAGTGTTATCAGCACTTGTGTAAGATTCCAAAGTTTCCCATTTCGTCTACATAAAAGCTGTCTTCATGTTACTTTTCGTATATTGTCAGGATATTTCTGTAACCCACTGATTTTCCAAAGGTTCTGAAAGCTTCATACTTCTCAATAGCAAGGAACATACTTCAATATTGACAGGCTGGCAGGGAAGGGAGATACTTTACAGACACTCACCTTGGTGTTGAGTTCAGGCTCAAGACTGAAACATCAGATCCTAGTCTGTTGTACACTGAGATGTGTTGGCCAAAAGGCATCAGTGCACTGCTCTATGCACTTTTAAATACTATCATTTGTCACTCAAGGATGTAGGCGCTAGAGCACATGCATGCTGCACACACTTCATCACCTCTGCCTGCACACTCCAGAAACCCTTTGCATTTTGCATCTCACAGATTACATGTGCCATTTTACACAGCTCTCTACAGCATCCCCTTCACATTCAGGCAGTTTGTCTCTTCTTCCCCTCCCTGACAAGATAGGTTCAGCCTTATCCTCTAGAACTAGAGACCTAAGCTATGGTAGTGCTAAAAAACAAAGCACAGCAAAACTAAGGTTTCCACCTCCTTGTCTCAGTCTGAACCATAGGCTATTGAGAAATGTAACACTTCAAGGTCCAGCCTTAGAAGTGCTCTTTGGAATGAGGGACGCCTAGAGGTGGTTCAGGTTTGAATTTAAAGCTCTGGCTAAGGTTGTATCTATCCTATCATTTATTTCTGAAGTTGCAGTGCAGTTCTGAAGCAAATCTCCCAGTTTTCCCAACCTACCATCAGTTGGTTTGATTTGCAGAGCAGTTTCAGCGCACCTGAGCTACCTTCCTTTTAGAGGAAAATAAAACAGAAGCTCACGTCCAGATGCATAGCAAAGGCACTCCAACTACTAATGTGATCATAGAATCACAGAATCATTTATGTTGGAAAAGACCTTTAAGATCATCGAGTCCAACAGTAAAACTAACATTGCCAAGTCCACCACTAAACCATGTCCCTAAGCACCACATCTGCACATCTTTTAAATACCTCCAGGGATGGTGACTCAACCGCTTCCCTGGGCAGCCTGTTCCAATGTTTGACAACCCTTTCAGTGAAGAAATTTTTCCTAATATCCAATCTAAACCTCCCCTGGCGCAACTTGAGGCCGTTTCCGTTCATCCTATCACTATTACTCAAAAGCGATCAAAGCAATGACTGGATATTTGGATGACTTCAAGCCATGTGAATGATAGAGATGTGCAGACCAGACCACCAGAAAAAAAATCTAGTGAAAAGTAAACCCCAAGGGGCCTCAGCATCAACTTTTGACCTTCTGATTCTCTATTTCAAAAATCCAGATGACATTCATAGTATTAAACTGATTCTTTCAGAGCGTTATATCAGTAAGGTATCATATTGGCTCATCCAGTTTCTTAACAGACATATTCATATACCAATGCTCTAGCTCAGTTCTAATGACACCAAAATTAGCCCAGAACCCCAGTAAAGGTCACATCACTTACCAAGCCATTGCAAGTGCTGATCGCTGCTGTCCCACTCCCGGAACCTGGCTGTAACACTGTGCCAATGAAGTGGCAAGGAACTCCCGAGCGAGTTGCAATCTTTGCACTAGTGTGGTTGCCACGTCTCCTTTCTACTACGTAGTTATGGGAAAGAAATCCCATGTGGACAGTCAAGTTAAAAAACAGATCCTTCTCCTCATGGTTAATTTTGTAATATACCACATTTTCCTTTTTGCTGAGATCTCTCTTCTTTCTTGTGTTTGAGATGTGATGGTGTAAATTAAAAGAAAGAAAATGCCCGCTTGCATCTACTCTTGCTGGATCAGCCACGTGGTATTCTGGCAACGTCTTGATAAATTGCTCTGAAAAGAAGGGGGGGAAAAAAGAAGCAAAACTAGGGTGAGTGCTAGCCTGTTCAGATCTCGCATGATTTAAAGGGAAACTCAAAAGTGACAGCAATTCACCACACCATCCTACCAACAAAAAGGCAGGCAGTGCACAGACCATCGTGTAATAAAATCCTCAGTTGGGCTTTCTACTCTCCCATCATAACACTCAATTTAGAAGCTAAACATTCTTCTTTTCAAATGTTTTGTCACCATTCGTATAAAGGATTGACTGTCACACACACCCACCCCCCTTCCCAATCCCAGAAGAGCTGGGAACCCTCTCTGTCCTAGGCCCCCAGCACATGATGCTCTGATCAAGGAGATCATCCTCACACATCCAGAAAGCTGACCACCTGAAGTAGGAAACAGAGCCTTACAAATACACATGGGTGAAGAGAACACTACTAATTGGCTTGATAGGCTATAGCAATAGCACCTCAGTAGCAACAGCTTTAGCAGATGTTGCAGCAGAGGAGGGAATTTTAAAAAAGTGTTTGAAGGGGAATTAAGTAACCGTGCCCTTTTCTATAAGGGGTTCCAACCAGGGTAAGACTGGACACCTGATCACTTGTCAGGATCTAGCAGGGAAAGAAAGCATTACTGGCATTCTTGTCTCCTGCTATGACACAGAACAAACAACACCTGTTCCCAATTTTTTTTTTTTTTTTATTTTAAATTAGTGTAAAACTCAAAAGCCCCGAGCGAATAACATAAATCCACATAAAACACAGTCCCTAAGAACTCATACCCTAAGGGCCAGATCTTCCACTGGCATACTTGACTTCAGCCCAGGAAATCACAGTCTGAACACATTTCATCAAAAAGAAATTGTGAGGATATATGTCATTCCAGTTCCTCTTTCCCCAGGGCTGTTCTTCGTTCCCAAAGTCCCAGCCATTTATACATGAAGCGATCACACCTCATTCATTAATTAAGCTGGCTAACAAATCAATTAGCCTGCTCCAGGTACTTCCAGAGCAATTTACTCCTCCCTAGGACTGGTAAGACAATCAATCCTTCTAGAGATACTTCTCTCTCCACTGCCTGCACCTTCAAAGCCACACAGGATAAATCATGCCCAGACAGATAGCTGTCTGGATTCATCCCCTTCGGGAGGAACGTATCTTCTTTGTCCTCATTAGCTGCAGTATGAGACATGGCTGCTCATGTTTCCTTAGGCCACGGACCCCTGAGACACGTGCACTGAAACACTCCCAATTCAAAAAAACACAAAATAAAACATACAGAAACCCCACTTCCCAGCGCATAGACAAAACTACATGAGAAATTTGGCCTTGTCTCAGTAACACCTTTATTTCTGAAGCAAGCTTATTCTCATACACAACAGATTTCTTTGTACACAAGCCTTCCCACCAGCCTACAACAACTTTGTGCCTTTACAGGACAAGCCACAGCAGTGGGCTTTTAGACCTTCACAGTGGCAGGTCTTCACAACACGGAGACAAACACCTACCACAAGTTCTGAGAGACATCTCCTGCCCTTGTCCACATAAGCACAGCAGGGACTGAGACATTGAAAACTCAGTCCACACTTCCATGCCTGCAGTTTACACAGCCAGTAGATAGCTCAAAAGGTGCCAGTTGCCTGACAATTATGCTGCAATAATAATATACTGTAATATAACTGTAATATAATAATTAACTAATTATTAAAACGTTTCCAAAACACCAGAGGGAATAAGATTACAACACAACAAAGTTTAACAAGATGAGGCTAAAGATAACTTCTGCAAGTAATCATTATCAGTTTTGTCTAGACTGTTGGGTAGAGGCTAGCAAAGGCAATCCTACAAATAACAGAACAATTTACTGCGTTCCACATTAAGCCTAGCATACCGCTTCACCTTTTGAGCTGGAGAAGAGTCTAAAACAAAGACAGGAGGTACAATTTTGGTGATACCTTTCTGCCCTTCTAGGAAAGAGTAACACTCAACTAGAAGGCAGAGGCAACAAACAGAATAACAATACATACAACCCACACTGCACAAGAGTAAGGGTTGTATTCTTCAACATTGACTGCCTCAATATTCCTGAAGTAATAATTAATTCATATTAAAACACCACAGGTTCCCATAAAACTTAGTGCCAGCAAACATTAAATGGAGGGAATCTATCCCAGTGCCACTGACAAGCCTTGGAGCTGGCACTTCACAGTGTCCTTCTACTTGGCCACCTAGAACACTCTCCACTCCAGGGAAGCCCTGCCTGTCAAGTGGCAGTGCTCAGGATTTATAAGCAGGAAAGGGAAGACTTCCCTGGTCAGCCTGTGTAGCTCCAGAGAATGCTCTGTCTTTCTACAACTGCAGCCTGAGCATGCCAGCTTGCATCAGTGCTGCGAGCAAGACCAAAACGTCACACTGAGCAGGACACGTTCAAGTCAGTACTTTGCCTTGCAATCACAATGTTTGCACAGGCCCTTCTGGTCACACGGGATGAGCAAGATTCAGGCCCTTCAAGCTTTTTTGACTAGTCTAAGAATTGTTTAAGTTGTCGGAGAAACCTTCCCTGCAGACCTTTCTGCATCATTGAAAACATCTGATAATATTCAAAACTGCTGTCTGTTCTGCTCTTCTGTGGATTCAAACTCACCACACATGGCAGAGAACTGCCTGTATTAAGAATGGCTGCACACAAAGTGAATAAACTAGAATAAAGAGAAAAAAAATACACAACCTCTCACACATGACAGGAAAAGCATAATTTCTTTTAGACAGATAACATGTTTTCTGACAAAATTCCTCTAAAATGTGGCTCATCATTGGCCATTGTTTCATCTCCATCTTTGTAGTTCATCCATATCTGCCCCTCAAACCCTCTGGCTTCTTTTCAAACAATTTGAGATAGGAAATAACATTGCTCATCTCTGGAGGAATCATCTTCCCAAGCCAAAGAAAGGCTCTGTACCCAGGACCGAGCTCCAAAGCCCCATGGCAGGGAGCAGGCCTTCAACATTCAGCAAGGGCATCCTCAACTGTCCCATCTGCCACATTCGCCATGGATGTGGAGGGAGCACAACACTTAACAGTCACTTCAGCTATGTGAGGTACAAATTTTAGTCCTTCACACTTAACACTGCATTCAATCTTCCTTTGCAAAAAATTAGCCAAATTGCGAACTGTCCCTTTACACAAAGCTATTTGCAAACTCATCAAAAAGCCTAGGTTTTTCATGCCTAGAAAGTTAAATTAATTCTACATTCATTTCCAAATGCCTGACAATTAAACAGCTACTACATGCTAACACAGCCATCCCTGTTCTCTCCCATGTAGTGTCACAGAAATGCAATGATTATTTGCATTCACTTTAAATGAATCCAGCAGGAACTAACTTCAGGACAATTGTTCACTTTTCAGGCAGCTTACTTAACCACTCTTCCTTTCCACGATCTCCTCTGAAGGGGCACAGAAGATTTTCTCCTCTGTGTTCAAGCTCGCCCGCTGACAGCACCACAGCTGTTGATTGCATCAGGAAGGTTTTCAGGAAGCAAAATTTCCTCCTACACTTTCGGGTCTTCTACCACCAAGCAGAGTCTTTCAGCTAATCATAAGTTTTCTCTCTTGGGAGCTGCTTCTCTGATTTTCCTTAAACAGGCAACAGGATAAAATTCCTGAGTTACACTCCCTCAGGGAGGTGTGCAGCCAGCACCAACTGGGGGTATGAAATTAATCCACCCGGGGAGCAGCCTCAAGAGACTCCTCCCGCAGACGAAGCCTCGCTTTTAATTTACCATCCTCACTGAATATGAACAGCTTACAGTGGGTTTTATACCCTGATAACACCAATCCTTCCATAGTTCGTGCTGCTGCAGTACAGAAGTGATCGTTTATTTTAAAAAAATAAATAATCAGGACAGTAAACTTTTTCAGTTTAGTAGTACCAAACGATTCTGGTATTTAGAGAGATGCCCCTTAACGAGGAAGATGAGCAAAAAGCAGGATTTAGCAATACCTTCGTCTACACCGTGCAACTCCATGACTTCCAAAAAGCAGCAGGAAGGCGCAGCCGGAGCTGCGTGCTCTCACTGCAGAACTCTGAAGTCTGGAGCAGCCAGTCCAAGGAGGTGCTGAGGGCAGCGCTGCCAGCTCGTACCCGCAAGAGCCCGAGCAGTAACGCTAACACCAAGCGGGGGGCGGCGGGAGGCCGACACGGCGAGGAGCCCCC